TAAGAATCAAAAAATACTCTTTTCCCTTTGAATTTGAAATTTATCTTGTAAAGCAATTCTTTTTATCAGCAACATTTAGGCTTACAGGTGAAATGCCCAGTGATTTTGAAACATGAGTTTGTTTATCGTCTTCTAGAAGCACGAATACCTCAGTGAGAAGCAGACAGAGTTGGGAGAAAGTATTGTGCAGTTAATGTTTTGTTCCTCCTCTCAGCTGAGCTGGGATTCATCTCTGGCTTCACATTACAAGCAGCTTGGACCTGTATGCAGAACTTACACTTCTTCCCGGCTTGGGCCTCTCTATCCTTCTGATTTTCACAGAGCCATCCTTTCCCTGCAGTGTTTTTCCTGATACCTCATGGGCTAGGGTAGAACTCTTTACACAGGACCACGATTACCTGATGCTCTAGGGTTAAGAACTCTTTACATAGATCGCTAATTCCCCGCCTAGTCATTGTTCTCCCCTCACTTAACTCATGAGCCAAAAACGACATCAGCTCCGTATACAGCAGTATCCTTGTTCTAGTGCTCAATAAATATTGGTTTAAATTAATGGAAAGTATATTACATTTTCATGCTTTTTGATGTCCATGGGAGAAGCATTTTTAGGTTATGTTTATTAGAAATTTATCTTAGTTTTCTCTGGAAAATTATGGCAATAATGCTAACTTTCTAAAGCACTTGTAAGAAGGTGTGTGTAGATCATCGATTCTCAACAGGGGATGATTTTCCCACTCCAGGGGACATATATGTGGCAACATCAGGAGACATTTTGGGATGCACACCACAGCCCCACCGCACAGAATTATCTGCTGGAAAATGTCAGTAGTGCTTAGGCTGAGAGACTGGGGTGGTTGAAAGTGCATAAAGCTTGGCAGGTCAAGGCTGATTTTATTTTGTTCTACACAGTGGAGTTCACCTCTTTGGATATCGTTAATAATAACAATTACATAGAGAATAATCAGCATTATTACGTTTTTGCCATGTACAGACATAAGTTTTTTTACAAGTATTATTTTATTTAACCCTGTCACCTGTGCTGTGAGTTAGGAACCATTATTACCATTTTTCAGATAAGGAGACTAAGACTTGAAAAGAGAAATGTGTACTCAAGATCCTGCTGCTACTTGGTGATAGAAGTAGGATGAGAACTCAGGATCTATACTTGTTGACCATTATACTTTCTTTCTCTGTAAATATGGTCCCCAACTTAAAGTCTAAAAGGATCTCTATCTTCATTATTCAGTAGGAACCACAGCTGGAAATGCAAAGAAAATTTAATTTTAAAAATCTAAATTTAAAAAAATCATTATGGCCTAGGTGGTTGTAATTTTACTAATATTTGTACTGATTGAAAGAAAAATACAGTGCATTCACTGATAGGTGTAAGCTGTTGTTGATACGTGGAATAGAACAAATCTGCTATATGCTGTTACTTTGTGGGATTCCCAAGAAGGTCAAAGAAAGCTCTGAGAGTTTGTTTTCATTCAAAATTGAACTTGTCATAGCCGATCAACACATTGTGCTCTAGATGGGACGTTTCTCCTATTAAGGTGTATGAACAGTGACAGTTTGCCCCGTGTAATCTTATTAGGAGCTTTCTTCAGAACCACATCATCTTCTTATATAATTATAAAAGAACCACTCATGAGTAAAATATGCCTGCAAGAGAGCAAGGCACGGGGGCAAAGGGTTGGCTGATGGGGACCTATTCTCTCCTTGTAGAGGACACAGTTCAGGAAATGGAAAATTTACAATTTGGATGCATAATAATAGTTTCTAGGCCCATCCCTGAGTTATTTGGTTGACTCCCAGTGTTAATGTCCTTGAGGCTGTTAGCTGATGAACTCTAAGCAAACACCATCGTCTTCAAGTATTGATTGTTTCTTAGCCCCTAATACTTGGCCTATAAGACAATGTAGAAGCATCTATTCTTTTCACATAGGAACTTAGAGACCCTGGTGTTGCTGTTTTTCTACCTTAGGACTTTCTTTTCCATGGTTGTTTCTATCACACTTTGAAGATTCCAGTAGAATACTCAAAAACATTACATTTGATTCTTTAGTCTCACTTTCCTAGCTCTTGCGGAAGTAATTATTAATAGAACCAAACAGTTTTTTATTCTTAAATGTTTTACAGAAGTGGGCTACTGTGATGACAAGTAGCTCTTTAAGGTCCTACTAGACGTTAGTACTTGTCATCCAGAGAAACATTTTCTGTTAAGGCCAAATGTCATACATAGTCATTGCACTGCTCCACCCAGAAGATGTAATTTACATATAAGATGTTATTTGAGACTGTCTCCCGGGGACAAAAGTGATTAGTATGCCTTATGCCTTAACTCTTCTCAAAAGAGTCATGTGACATGCTCTTGCATCTATTTTAAATCTAATAAATTAAAACATGAATGATGAAATAAGATGTTCATGGTGCTTCACAAATTTGAATGCACCCACCCCAGACTCTTGCTAACATGCAGATTCTGGGCCTGAGGTTTAGCTTTTCTACCATCTCCCCAGGTTAGGCTCATGCTACTGGACCAAGGACCACACTTGAGTACCAAGATGCTAGGGAACATTAAGATGGTTTGAAACCTGAGCTAAGGATGCCATCAGGCTGATTGCATTAAACTCATTTTTCCTATGCCACCTCAGTTACATAAATTATTCTTTAAGTCTATAGAGAGGTTTCTTTTGGAAGGAATGGCATCCTTTTCAGCATCAAAACGTATATTAGGTTTTGTAAAAAATTAAATAATGCTTGACTTTTTTTTTTTTTTTTTAATAACAGTCTTTTTGTTTTGTTTTTAAATTATGAGCTTAAAATGGCAATACTTCTATGGGATCCTGGCTTGTAGATCTGAAAATCCAAGAAACATCTCTCTAGGATTTGTTTCTGCATTATAATATGCCAGTAAGATAA